TGGATGGATGTAGGATGGATGGATGGATGTTGGATGGACGTAGGATGGATGGATGTAGGATGGATGGATGGATGTTGGATGGATGTAGGATGGATGGATGGATGGATGGATGGATGGATGGATGGATGGATGGATGGGGCTCAGTGAGAGGACTTGGTATAAAATGAGGATTACGGAGAGGCTGACTCTCTCAGAAGGAAACATGGGCAGAGGTTTATCAGTTTGAAATAAAACAATATAAAATAGTTGAACAGTTTCAAAATAACATCACAACCTTGTGAAGACTTAATTTCCCACCGTCTCCAGTTCATAATCTCAACAGATTAGAATAATCTGTGGAAATCTCTGAGCTCAAAGGTCGAGGCTGAAAGTCGATATTGGATGATCGTGATCTTCGGGCCCTCAGGGGCCACTGCATCGTCAACAGATCTGGTTCTGTTCTGGGCTCAGGAACACTTCCACAGATCATTGTCTGTTCACACAGTTCATGCACAAATGTTGTTTAAAGCTCTATCGGGCAAAGAAGAAGCCAGATGTGAACACCATCCAGAACCGCTGCCGTCTTCTCTGGACCAGAGTTCGTTTAAAATGGACTGAGGTGAAGTCTAGAACTGTTCTGAGGTCAGACGGATCCAAGTTTAAAATTCTCTTTGGACAACGCTAAAGAAATGAGCACCGTCCAGCCTGTTTTCAACACACGGGCTGCCTCTCTGATGGTATGGGGGTGCATTAGTTCATCTGGCATGTTCCATTGTGAATAAAATATGGGTTTGTTAGGTTTGCACGTCGTTGTACTCAGTTTTGTTTCCATTTACACACATCAGGCGTGTGGTCGTAATAAACTGTTTTCATCTTCTTTTCAGTGCCAGCTTCAAACTGGCTCTGGACTCCCTGCCTCAGCTGCACAGCGGAGCTGATAAGAAGTAAGTCTGATTTTGGCACATCTCTTTTTTTTCTTAATGCTCATCTGTTTTTTGTGCCTCATGCTTGTGTCTGTTTCTTGCGCAGGTTACTGGAGGAGCTGCTGAACACGTTTAAGAGCAGCATGCAGCTGCAGCTCACCTGCTTCCAACCCTCCAACGTCCAGCCTGTCAAGAGATAAGCCTCCATCACTTCGCCGTATCAACTTTGTCGTTTTGTTCTTGTCTGTGCAATCAGCCAGTGAATCTGCTCAGTTATCGCTTTATTAATTAGTGTCACTTTCATTTTCTGCTTTACTGGATGACACAAACGTCTGTAGCTAATCTTGAAGACACTAAATGAGTGGATTTCATTGTTACTGTGCAGGACAGGCCCTGTTCTGTGGGTTATGCTAATCGTGCAGACCAGTAAGAAGTGGTTCACACGCAGAGGGAATGTGGGGTTCTTGTGTGTTTCCAGAAAGTTCTGGATCAGCAGTGGGATGTGGAGTCTCCTCTCTGACTGGATTTGGTCACAGTTGCTCTCTTTGTTCGGTTTGAAAGAAGCATCTTTAATTTGTTTTGTCCAATAAAATGATCCAGTTCAGCATGAAAGTGTTTCTGAGATTTGCTCAGTGATCTTCAGCGTTCTTCTTTTCTGTGTTTTTTTTTTTTTTTTGAGCAACAGCAATGTTCCCGGTCGCCTCAGAATAAAATTGTACTTGAAACGTGAACGTTTCTGAGAGAAGTGCTGTTTGTCTTTTCAAGGGAACTCCAGCTTTGTCAACTTCATCGCCCACATCCCGTTCAGCATCTCTTTCTTTTATTTGACTAAATATTACTAGTGATTTTCATCCCGTCTGGATAAAAACTGTAGTTTCTTTTCAGTTTTATGTATTTTAGTGCCAACTGGACAGACGTTCTTCACTCGGGTGTCTTCCGCCTCTAAAAAGCTGCTGCTTCACAAGAACGAGAAAATTGTTCTCTTCCAAGGCTGCAAGAAAAATAACTTTTATTTATTTATTTTTTTCAGCCCAACTTTGGGAGTTCTTGCACCATGTTCTTGATACAGTGTCTGAGCAGAACTTTGTTCTTGTGCGGTGTCTGACAACTTCTTTATTCAGACTATTCAGAAGTTGGAATGAGTGCTGTTTATAGCAGGAATGTTAACGTTCCCGCCACAAGGACTTCTCATGAGTTTCTCATAAAGTATGAACCATCTTGGCCTGAAAGAACTTTGTTCTTGAAACTTTGTGAAAATGACCGATTGTCTCGATTATTGCAGACGCTTAATTCTCCTCGGCTCGACTTGTCTCTGCAGAGAGAGAAAAGATCACAGAAAGGACAGGGAGGTGAGTACAGTAATGTTTAAAAGCTGCGATGCTAAAACTCAACCACCATAAATAAAACGTACGATTTGGGACTTTGTTTGGACTGGTTCATCGTTGGGAATTTCCATTGTGGATGTAGGTTGGCATGGACATCTTGACCAGTTTATAATCATGATTTCCAGTATCTTCTGAGACGTTTTTTTGTCTGAAACATGATTCCCCCCCCTGGACACGGACCATCCTGTGCTTCCCATTTTGCATCAGTGACACTATCCCTGGTTTTCCTTGAGCTTTTGGACAAATCCCGACCATTTATAGTCTCGCCATTAAATTATTGTTTTTGTCAAAACTGATATTAAAAAAACTGTTTTTTTATTATTTCTCTTAAATATCAACTTCAAGCGCCATTATGACCAAAAAAACAAAAATTATTACTCCTTGGTGAAACCCACGTTTTTTCAAAAACTTTTTTAAAGAATTCATATTAAAAGCTTCATAAATGTGTTATTTATTGCAGACTTGCAGAGTGTCTTGGGTGAGATGCTCCTCTTTTGGTCTTCAGGTCTAAACGTGACGTTCAGTTTGACCGTTTTGGAATAAAGGCACGTTTGCAGACAGTTGGTTGAAACCAGAAGCTGCAGCTATTCATCTCTGGAGCTCCAGCTCATCTTTTTACACACCGTCATGTCTTGTCTGAGGGAGGGTGTGGGTGCACTGGGTGTATGCAGGGTGGGGACGGAGCAGGCCGTTACTCAGACCAGCAGATGAACACAATGTTGGGGTTGCAGCGAGTTCTGCGGCTGTGCTAGTCAGCATGCAGAGGAGACGGGCACGCCCACAGCTCACATGAGAAACTTTGATAAAAGGGTGATAGATGTAGAAGGGGTTGGCCCAATAAAATGCATCTTCTGAATGTACAAGCCACAATCGTAACTCTGTCTTTTGCTGCTTTCTGTTGTCGCTCACACACCTCAGACCCTTTTTTTCTGGTTTAATTTCCCATCGACACGTAGGGGAAAGCCACGCAGAGCAGAAGAGTTGTTTTGATCGTCTCTGTTCTAAACTTAGCTCTCTGTCCTCCCACGCGTTCATTCACTAAACAAGTTCAAAGCCTCAAACCTTCTGCGCTCCTCGCCAGCTCTCTGTTTACAGTAACAGAGGTGAAAAGGGGGAGTTTTACTTTCTTTTATTTTCTCTGTTCCGTTCAGTAAAAAAAAAAAAAAAAAAATGACAACAGATATTACTTTGAACTGCACTCTGAGTGGAGAAATGCACGGATGGAGAAAATATGCACACCGCAGATGATTTGTTTGTGCTCATCTTGATTTTGGAAATAATTTTTAACCCGTTTTCCGAGGCAGATGTTTTTCATGTTAGCAAAAATACAGCTAGGTCGCATCATACGCACTGTAGATGGGGAATTTGAGCCATGAGTGCCTCATGTAAAAATACTTTTGTGAAGATTGTTCAGGAAGTGATTATGTGGAGCAGTTATGAACAGTCAGTGTGTTCCCTGCTGTAGATGGCAGTCAGCGCGGTCTCAGTTGTCGCAGGAGGACGATGCATGGCCCATTTAAAAGCGATTTCAGATCATTAAAAGCGTCACTTTTTCTAACTATTGTTCAGAGAAAGTAAAATGGCAAAGTTTGAACTAAGTTTTGCCGCTTTACTTTCTCTGCTGAACAACGGTCCTTTTTTTCTCAACTCAATTTATTGATAAAGCACTTTTAAAAGCATCAGGTTGTGAACAAATTGCTGCACAACAACAACTTTTCGTTCAATCGAAATCAAAAGTCTAAAGTCTTGCAGGAAGAGTATATGCCATCCAAGCCTTGAAGTCATTGAGACTTTTTAGTAGAGGGCGGGTGGTGCATGAAATATTTGGCTTTAAAAGAAAGGAAATCTGGCAATTCTCAGCATAACAATAGAATAAAATATTGTAGCATGTTTTCTCAGAATAGACCTCAAATGGAGCGGGCACATTGAAAACAGTAGAAGTCCGAGAACTGAACCCTGAGGAACCCCACAGGTTAGCATTACAAGCTTTTAACAAAGCTGTTTCAGTGTTGTGTGAAAGTTTAAAACCAGACAGGAAGACAAAAATCTTTTTTTGTTTTTTTTACTCAGGAAGACATTTGAATAAAAACTATTCCCTTGTAGCAATAAGAAGGATGTGAGATGGAGGAAGAGGGGTGACATTTTAGCCACTCCCCTCCACTACATTAGTTTTTATTTATTTAGCTCTCGTTAAAGTGTGGCACCAGCTGGTCAGTTTACTGACCAACAGCAACTTAATTAATATTTTCACCCTTTAATGATCAGAATCAGTCACTGAAGTAGAATCTGTTGATTACAGAGAGTTTTATACCAGAACACATGAATATTCATCTGAATGAAGAGACCAAAGTTGTCTTCGAAGTTTTATTACAAAAATAATCAAACTAAGAATCAACAACAATAATAAACAAACAGTAATAACGAATCAATCAAGGCTTAATTCTCTTATCTAAGGCAAAATCCACTCTTTGAGCAGGAATTATTTCAGTTTTATACGCGCATGAATTTAGACAAAGTTTTGACTATTTTAATAAATAGTTTACTTTGGATTTTGATTGAAAGAAGTTTTTTTAATGTGATCAGATAAAGTCATTTATCGTCACTGCAAGCAGGAAATGATTTATCAAGTTGCATCAGCTTAAAATAGTGTAGTGAACTAAGCCTCAGGTCTCAAATCTGGCCTTGAGGGCCTTCCTGGAACAAGAACTGTATTTCATTGATTTGAGTCCAGAAACACAAGATTAAGTTCATCCAGAGACTTTCTAAGTGTCCTGCACTGATCAATTGAAAGAACACTCTCTTTTCTATTATCATTACTATTTTACAAATGTTTTGATAATCAAATTGTGTTTAGTTCAAACCATTTTCAAATGTTGAAGTGAACTACTCATTTTTAAATCCGCTGTGAAACAGTATTAGTGATTTTTTATCCTCATTCAAAGTAGAAATCAGGTTAATGATGCATTGTCTGATTTTCTGTCTTCAATGAGCAAATTGTGAAGTTGGTCAAAGGTCAAGTTTCGGTCAACTGCAAGTTTACTGAAAAAGAAATGTCATGTTTAACTTTTTCAGGCAGATATGAGAGAGTTGACTCCACGACGTCTGGAATCTTCATAATATCTTCTGTCTGTTCTTAAACAATCTAATCTTTTTCCCTTGACTTTTAATAACCTCTTACATCACAAAAACACACCTCTGTTTGGTCCATCGACCAATCAGAAAGTCCTCAAATGAACCGGAAGTGACCTCTTTTAAAAGGTGCAACACTTCCTAGTTCACGGCAGTTCCAGAGTTCAGGATGCTGGAGGAAAAGTAGCTAAGCTGAACGAGAGAAGAACAGAGGAATTATGAAGAAGTCTGTTCTAGGATGATCTCACGACTCCGAACGGTTCCCTACTATCCTTACGGAGACGCTGGAGAGCGTTTGAAGGCAACTCTACACCGAAGTCGGGATTATCCTCTGCCAAGGTAAAGAGTCGATCTTCAACCGCAAAGTGTACCGTTGGTTAAGCTGGGCCCAGAAGGAGCGTGTTGTTCTGGTTACAACAGACAAATTCCCTCACCCATCTCTCTCAAAGTAAACCTCATTTTCCATCTTTAAAATTCTTCTATCCTGCTAGAAATCATTCCAGATATTTTCAGAAATGTCTGTTGTGAAGCAGGGAAAACCATCGCCGTATGGTTTTCTAATTGTAAACTGATTAATTAACCTGTTGTTATTTTCAATTTTGCCAAATTAATGTAAATGTTTGATGTTAAATTTTGATTCTGTTAATAAATGACCACGTTCATTTTGATGGGTCAAAGAAAATTAACGTCTCACGTTACGTTTTTATTAAATTCAATGCACGATATTATTCAGTCCAGAAAAATGAATGAATCCGTTTAATTTATGAATATATCACAGAATATGTTCGTCTACAATAGAAAAACCAGACCAAGAGTTGCATCATGTCACCAGGTTTCTGCTCCTTACCGGGTCAGTGTTGAAGGCACCAGGTCACTCGTCTTTCTGGGGTTCTCTGGTGGATCAGACCAGGATACGCCATGAGGAGGACTCGCCGGGAACTGCTCAAGGTAGCGGACCATCACGGTGACTGCTTCAGTGGTCTGTGAGGGCAACGGCTGATGAGAAGGTGCACCGTCCATCGGCATTCTGCCAGTTTGGACTTCAAGCCAAGAACGTGAGTCTTGCAGTGAGAAACGGCTTCAGTCTGAAGGGTTGAGTCCAGGTTTTTGGATCAGTGCGTTTATTTCTTCACGTTTAAAAACATTTGGAACCACAACGGAGGAAATTCTGCCATTTATTAAAGCAAATTGTCAACGCTCAGAGGAAGGATTTGCTTAACGCAAACAACTTGGGTGAGAAAATTGCATCAAATAACTTTCTAATGCAAAGTGAAACAATGTCTTTATTTTATTTTATTATCAGAAACAAATTTCCCCAGTTGTTAATGTTAACACCAGTTTGTATCAGTTACGTCAAATTGTCAAAAATAAAATCTTTTCTTCAAAAGACCTAATGAAATTTACTTTGATTTATTTAAAATTAATTAAATGTTGTATTTTTAAGAGGTGACCTTAAGAGGTGAAGCTGTTCGCTTGACTCCCCATACCGTTATACTACCAGTAGTCAAACTATCTTATCGCTGTCTGCTGCAGGTAAGATAGTGCTTGCTCATAACCATTCCACACAGCCCCACTTTGAATGAGTTTATTTCAAAAGACATTTCACAGTAATTGCAAAACAGCAAAAGCTGTAGTTAACCACAAAATGGTGTCATTTTCATCTGTTGCCCTTGAACTAGTGTTACAAAGTCACCTAAAAAAACTAAATCATATCACGGTAGTTGATAATGCATCACATCATAACTTCTAAAAATGTTTGTAGTTTGTGTATTTTCAATAGTTTTGCACACAATCAGCTTGAAAATATCCAGTAATGGCTTTCTGTGGCTGTTTTGGGTTTTGATGAGTGCTGCAAGGTGGTGCAGCAGGTTAGCACTGATGCCTCACAGCAAGAAGGTCACAGGTTCAACTCCTCACTGGAGCTTTTTTTTTTTTTTTTTTTTTTTTTGCAAGGAGTTTGCATAATGTCCTGGTGTGTGCAGTGCACTCGTCTCAAAGTCCCAAAACACACACGTGAGGTTAAATGTCACCAGGGATCAAAAATGGTTGGATGGATTTTAATGACAAAAAAAAAAAAAGGCGTAGAAATGTTATTTTGTTTTATTTTGTAAAGCATATATACATTTTTTTTTTAAATCTTTTTTTGGGTATTTTTCTTAATTTTTTGTTTCTTGTTTCAAAGAAAGTAAGTCCTGTGGGTTATTTTCGAACAGTCGCCCGTCTTTCTCGCTCTTCTATAGAATCTTGTGGCAAAGACAGAAATATTTCTGTGGCTTTTGGGTGTTTTTTTTTTTTTTTTTTTTTAATGTTTTGGTGGTTTTCCATAAAAGTGGAAACAGAATTTGCTCGCAGACGAAGCCAGGAAGGCTTTCTCCTCATGTGGAAACATGGCCGACCTCTTCCTCGCGCTCTCCTCCCTTTCTGATGTCATCACTCCGTTTGTGATAACCAAGTGCTTGATTAACCAGCGTCATCATGCATGTGAACCACACTTCCTGTTCAAACCACACACACATACTGACATACTGAGAGCTCGCACTCTTAAACACAGCCTGACTCTTCTTAGTTACGTTTTATTATTATTTACAAATACGCACATTACTTAAAAAAGCACATTAATTCACATTATACAACACAAAGTCCATGGAAGGAAGCTATTCTAAACTGTTCTCCCTGAGTTTATTGTACAAAAACACCAAATATAAGGCAGTGGTAACATTTTATTTAACAGTGGTGATAGTGTCTATGGCAACAAAGAAATATATACAAAAAGATATAAATTTTATGTTATGAAAAAGATGGTTCGGCTCTGTTTCTGCAAAATAGATTAAAAAATAAATGTCTGTACAGAAACAGAAAAACCATCAGAGCTTCTGTAAAGTTTACAAACTCGAACTTTACATCTTTTTTTATTTATTTATTTACAATAGAAAAGGAACAAAGGAAATATCCTGTTAAAATGAAATTTGGCAGCTTTGACAACGTTCACTGCTGCGGTGTAACGAGAACAGATTGAAAAAAATATTTTTTTTTTTGTACTGACTAATCCAGATGATGCTAAGCTAATTAGCTGCAGGTTATTTCCTGGATTAGAGGATGTTGTGCCTTGTAATAAAAACAATGAAGTGTGTTTTTTTCCATTTAAGGCACGTATCGGCGTGTTCAGTACAATCAGCTCTGCTGTCAGTTGTAATTGAAGGTCAAAAAATGATCATGTGCATTTAAAACCACCAGGTGGAATGTTCGTGTGTTTTCCACGTTCGCCCCCTTCGTCTCTGAGTTCTGCGGCCCGTTGGGCTGAACGTTTTTAGCAGTCCGTCTCTTGGCCGGCTCTCGGGTCACTCCTGCAGGCTGCTGCTGTGGAGGTGTGTGACCGCTCTCTGGTAGTCCTCGGTGGCGTTGATGTGCTCCGTCACTCCCGGGTGCTCGTAGCTGCGGTAGTAGTGGCCGCCCGGCTGCTGGGCGTAGAACAGGAGCTGCCTGGAGAACAACGGCTCCACCTGCAACATGGAGACGCGCAGGACAGACGCCGTTTACACTCTCGTTTAAACCCGTATACACAGAAAACTGGTTTGTTTTGCGTTAATTTAAAATGTTTTATTTAGCAAACGTGTTAGAAGCTCCATAATGATGTTTGTCAAATCCAGTGGTGGTTCTAGAGGGTGGCACAGAGGGGCAGCACCTGGTTGCAAACCTTATTTGTGAGCAAGTCACCGTACTTGCCACCGTATAAGTCGCATCAGTACAAATATGTCTAATAAAGTGGAAAAATCCATAAATATGATGCTTCGCTGTCATAGTTTATGCAAAAAGGTGAGACTTATACAGCGAAAAATACGGTAATATATTTTTGTACAGTTTGCACAATATTTGAAAGTCACGGACACCTCCACAGAACTACTATCTCTATTTTATGTCACTGATTTGTTTCTTGTATTTCAAACCGTTTTAGGCGTGTGTTTTTGAGCCTGTGAATTAATTTAAAGAACATTTTCTCACTAACTTTTCACCATTTAGGATGTATTTAAGTTTTAAAAAAATTGTTTTAGTTTTCTCTCCTTAACGTTAGCATTTTTAAAAGTGACTTGGTCTTACCTTAACCTCCTAGGACCTGGCCACGTGTGGACAACCTGGCATCCACATGCAAGAGTTCGGGTCTTAGGAGGTTAAACATGAAAATCTCAGATTCTGTCAAACACGTTTGTATTTTTATAAAGATTTACGTCGGATCAGCTGCTTGAGAGTTACGTCCAACACTAAAATGTAAAAGAAAAACCGCAATAAGATCTAAGATATGAACTAAGAAAAACATCAACTAAGACGTTTTAGGTTGGATGTTTATTGTGGGAGCTGAGGACAGAAAACTTTGTTTTAATAGGAACATTAGATGTTTAGCTGCTGTCTTTACCAGGTTTGGGTCATTTAATTGTTTATCAGCTAAACAGGACAAATAATAAAAGTTATTTCCACTGATGCTCGGACCTTTTTACCTGCTTAAACACAGCTGTTAAGGATCATCCGTGTGCAGCAATGACGGGTGCCTGGTTTGGTTGAACCTCAGCTGTTCTGTTTTCCTCGTCTCGAGCTTGGTCAGAATTAGCCTAAATGAACCCGTTAGCTTTCACTTTGTTTTGCCACAGAAACCGAACGTGCTCGAGATGATCCTGAGGCCTGAAACCAGCTCCGCTCTGAATCTCTGCAGCTTCGTCAGAAACTAAATTTAGTTTTGAAACGAGGCGTCCGTGATGACTGTATGGAAGTTCCTGCAGACTTTCAAATCCCTTTTCTCAGTTTTCAGATGCTCGGCCATATTTTGATTTCAGGATTTTAACCACATGAAGTTTCAGAGAACTTCAGCAGAGGTGTGAGATCAAACTGGTTTATTGTCTGTCACCTGGACAGTGAGCGTCCGTCTTTGTCTCTGCGGGTCCAGACACTCGTCTCCAAAACTCAGTAGGACCTGGAAACGAGCCGGCGGCCGACCGTGGAGCCCATAACTCTGGATCTCTGGAGGGGGGGGACACAAGTTCACATCATCGTTAGCTTCGATATCTTAGATCATCTGAGCAGGCAAATGATTTCAGAAGAAATTCTCTTTCAGTGGCACCCTGACATTTGGGGTGAATCGAGTGGAAAGTCCTGGTCACACAGAGTATGTAAATACATTAGCTGTCACTCACAGCTGGGGCTGTCGGGGCGTGTGGGCGGGGACGATGTGGCGCTGCAGAAAGTCAGGTGACTGCTTATCATGAAATGCTGCTTGAAGGCCACAGTTCTTCTAAGATACTTCAAAGTGGCCCTTCCAGTAAATGAGCTGGCAGCTCAGCCTCCACTCGTCTCTTCAACAAATGTGTCAGAATCTAAATCTGTAAGACTAATTTCAATAATCTGACATGGTGTCTGATCTAAATGGGTTTAGTGTTGCACTTTAGGGCAGCTTGCTCTCTAGTTCAGCTGCAAACAGGAAACGTGGTTGCAGACCACGGTCAGGTTTAGCCTAATCGTCACGCTGGTTTCGGTTGACTGGTACCAGTGTGGGACCTTCGCCTCACCTGTGAGGTAGTCCTGCGTGTGCACAAGTTTACAGATGACCTCTCTCTCCAGCTTGTTGGGTTTGTCTCCGTACGGCGACGGGCCTCCCTCCCAGTACACCCGGCTCTGACACATCCTGCGAGCATAGAGTCCATCTGCGCCCATCCACAGCAGGACGCCCTTCTCCAGGACGGACGGCGGACTCGGTGGACACTCGTCCCCCCTCCTCTGTGTCGAGAGGTTGTCGACAGGCAGGGGGACGATTTCTGGGCCTCCGGGCGTCAGATAGTGCTTCTCCAGGGAGCAGGGAGTGATGTGGCAGCCCTCCGGACTGGATGTGGTCACCTCCCTCACCAGAGTGTCCCGTAAATACACGGACACGTGCAGACGGTAGTCTGGTTAGAAGAGAAGAGGGCACGGGCTGGTTACTAACACATCTTTGACACTTTTTGTTGCTTTTCAGATAAAGTAAGACACATTTGTTGTGTAATCTTAATATGTTTCCACCTGAGGCTCTCGGGCCTGCAGCACCATCCAGACACATGTGACGTAAAGAATTCTCTCCGCACTTACAAAACTCTGCTTTTGAGGAAACCGGATCTGTGCAGCAAGATTTGTGTCATTCTTCAAACTTTAGAGGCTTCTCCGTCATGTTCATGTTTCAGATCAATAAAAAACGACTTCCTTTCATTTTATTGAAGATGGATGCCTTAAAGCAAATGTCATATTGTAAAAGGTGCCTGAATGGTTTGTGTTGTGGTTTTTGTTGTGTAGTGAAGCAAAGACGAGTGCATGGCCACCAAATCTTAACATTATGGTTTCAGTAGTTCATCTTTACTGTAAATCAGGGTTCAGTCTGCCTCATAAGAAGGTAACATTTTGGAAGGACCAAATGTGCTGCTGATTACCCATTCTGCTGATCTCATGCTGCTGATTTATTTCAAGCTGCTGTGTTCATTCGCACTCATGTGCTCACACGGACTCATGTTCGTGCTGCTGTTGTTCGGCGTATTGTTTTTGTACTACTACTGTTCAGCGTATTTCATAGTTCATGATCTTATTTCTGTTTTTCTTTTACAATTTATACTTTTGTTGGATGTAACTGGGACCCTGTGTACACAATTTTGTTCCACCTCGTGCCACATCAAAAACATTGACCTTGCTCTTGGCCTTTTTTAAACTATATCCATACTTTAAATGTACTCATTGCAGACTAAATTAAAAATGAAAGACACTGAAGTGCAGTAGTTTTTCACATGTATAGATGTGCAATCCTGAAAGTTGGGTACGCACACGATGTAAACAAAGCACTTTAATTTGAATACTTTGCTCAACAAAGCTGAGCGTAAACACAAACGCATCACAACTGCCGGACTTCTTGATCCCAAATTTTTTTTACAGGTGCCACCATTGTTGACCTATTTGTAGTCACTTTGTCTGTTTCTGTAGGTAAATAAACGCACGTGGTAGTTGGCAGCTGGTTGCAGATTTTGCTCAAGAAATTTAATTGGACTGAGGAAAAAAACATGTAGGTTTTGATTCTTTGGTTGTTATTTTGATCAGTCTTCGTGACTTTGCATTGAGTCTCGTTAATGTTCAGTATTGGAAGTTTTCATCATAAACAACTCATTTCGGATGCATAAAAAGTTAAATGAAATTAAAATCATTGTGACGCAACATTCTCACAAAACTAGTGAAATGTTTGCTAATTTTCATAAACGGACATATTCCAATATGCATATCAAATGTTGCGTCTAATAGCTTCAATCAGACATTTCTGTTTCGAAACATATTTGCAAGTGGTTTCTCTTCACCTTAATCTTTATGAGCTGCTTCACTTCAGTGGATTTATCTAAAAGATTTTCTAAAGCAAGACTTAAACTCATGTCAGATGTTCAAATTTGCAGCTCTCTGATATTCTGAGAGAGGAGAAGGTGGGGTGAGAGTGTTTGGAGTACCTGAGAGCGCCTCGGCTGATCTGATGCTGGCGTCCAGAGAGAAGGGCGAGGGCTGGCTGTCCGCCGGGCCGTACGAGTAGATGGAAGCTCTGAGCTGGTACCCTGCACAGCACGAGGAACACGTCAGAGCTGAACCTTTGAAACGACAAAGATGCTGATGCTGAGTGGCATACCGTTTTCCATGGATGGGGGCTGCCACGGCAGGCTGCGGGGGGGACAGGGACACTGAGTGAAGGGGAGTTCTGGCAGAGACGCCTGCTCTGGACAGTAATCTCTCCAGCTGCATTCTGGACTGGGGATGTACTGGGACATCTGGGGACGAGGGAGGACACGAACATTTAGCTTTAAAATTAAAATGTTTCTAACATCCAGATACTTTTTTTTTTAAGTTCTGAGAGAAAACAGCACATGTCAACTCATTCATGCGTGCACAATCTGCACACTTCATGCAGCAGCCTGTCAGACTTTGTTTCTGAAGCCCCGCCCCTTTTCATTTCCCTGCATATGAAAATCACCTGGGAGGGCACAGTGGGGAAGGAGGGGTGCATCTGATAGCTGGCTGGACTCAGAGGACTGTCCTCCTGTCTGGGTCCTATGCAGGACAGAAAAATGTTCTTCATGAGCAAACACCTCATTCAGCATTAAAAGCTAAGTTTAAATGACTTTATCCTGTTTTGCAATTGAAGGATTTTTTTTTTTGGGGGGGGGGGGGGCTCACTTTTCTTGGCTCCCTCCGGGATGATGCGGTACACTTTGTAGGGATCTGAAATGTCCAACTGGCTTCTCTCCACAAGTTCTTCAAAGTCGTTGCTCTTGTTGAGGGCGCAGCGCAAGCGCGTCTTCCACGTGGGGGGGTCCGGCTTGTCAATGCCCTCCCGAAACTTGCCTTTAAACAGAGCCCATGCCTGCACACAAAAGGTCAGGAGTAAAAGGAAAGAAAGAAGGAAAACATAGAAACTCTTTTACTTTTATATTATATGCTACATGTTGGAGCCTTTTTCTTTTATTCATTTTTTGGCCAAATTTGGTCATTCCAAAATAATTTGCTGACTTTTCCACCTAACAAACGGGTTTCATTCATAATCATAAATGGCTAATTAATTCAGAACAATCTGATAAAATGTTTGGTTTAGACTTGAGTCTGAATATTTAGAAGAAACAAATCACTTTAAAAGTTTGCACGGCTGTAAAAAGTCTCCTCTCCTCTTTGCGCCTTTACGCACCGCGCGCGCCTCCATCCTTGGAGACGTCCCCCGTCTCTTACCTTGAAAAGCGCGGCATCCTCGTCCCGGTTGTAGTCCTGTTTCCCTGCGTGTTTCCACGGGATCCTGAAGATGGACTTCTCATCGTTCTCCCACACCAGGCCGGGGTATTTCCCGCAGTCCACCTGCTCGATGAGCCACTGGCGCAGCTTCCCGTTGCCGCTGCTCCCGGAGCCTCCGTAATCCAGCTCAGGGTTCATCTCCGACCAGGAACTCGAGAAGAACTCCACTTAATGAAGAACGAGGCGCTCACGTGGCGAGCTGTGAAGTGAAAAACTCGCCAAACGTTCTCCCACGCAGTCTGATTTGGCTTTTTTTCTTACGCGCCCTTGAAGCGGATCGAAGTTTTCTTACCTGTGAAACTCGAAACCGTCAAGTTTTGCAATCTGTCAGTGTCAGAAAGCCCTCATCAACCCGCCGCGCGCGCTTAAATCCTCCCTGCGCGTCAGAGCGCAGCGGGAGGGCGGAGGCAGAGAGGGATGCTGCGCGAGGAGGACGCACCTGCCGCCGCAGCGTCTCTCCTCTGAAGCTTATCAGCGCGCGCACAGCGGCCCATCTCCAGTAAGACACGAGGGGAAACCCTGCCGGCGTCAGCTAGAAGTGTCGCACACCCGCGCGCGTGGAAAGTCGTCGCGATGGAGACAAAAACAATTCTTTGAAACGATAAAGCTTCGCGAAAAGCTGCTGCAGAGCGGAGTGGTCCATCTGCTGCCCCGCTCCAGCTTTATACAGAAAGTCCCCGAAGTGTTAGAATAAACTGAGACGGCAGAGAAACGAGTTTAAAACCTTTTATTCAGTTGATTAAACTCAGTTTTAATTAGGCTGTGGATGAAAGAACAATTAAATACGTTTCTAAAATGATCAAATCCATTAAAAGTCCTACAATAAAAATTTTGGTCGAGTTAAACTCAAGTTAGTTTAAAAAACTTAGCAGGGTTTTGTCTGTTTACCCTTGTTTTATTACTGTATTGCATTTTATCATGTTGAAATAAACACATAGCCCTTTATCTGAAAATAGAGATATTTAAAAACCTTAATTCTTCTAGTTTATATAATTATCATTTATATATGAGTTCTGCTGCTCTGAAGCAGTTTCAACCAATACAGCCATTTAAAAATAAAATTAAACCAATTATTGTAAAACAATTAGGATTTTTAATGAAATGTGAATCCTTTATCCTGAAAAATTGCCTGCTAAAAAGGTTTTAATAAAAATATATTTCTCTAAAATATCTTCTTTTCATAATAAGATTGTAAAATCAAATCAATGTTTATTTTGTTTTTATTTATAGCGAAATCAAAAGTGCTTTATGGAGGCAAAAGATCAAATCAAAAACATCCAGTAAACTGAACAAAAGAGAGAAAATATTCAACAGTTTAAAAAGACTAAAAATGCTGTTAGATAAAATGTAAAAACAAAAATAAAATCAAGTAGAACTTCAATTTAAATTATTATAAATTTATTCTTAAAAGAAAGATAATCGCAACATAAAACATTTTTATTATGTTTTTATTTTTAGGTGTAAAAATTGTAGCTATTTTAGTAAAAAGAGTCAAATTTCTCGTTGAAAAGAAAAAAAATACAAGTTTGCTGGTACACATCACAGTACATTACAGTACATTACAGTACATTACAGTACATTACAGTACATAATATTAACACATACATTCAAGCTCATGTCAACTTGTGAGGCGTTAAAACAACAGCCTGCCTCTCCTTCTGTCAGTTTAATTAAACAAATACATTTTTACTTCCTGTATTTTCATTACAACTCAACTTCTTGTATTTGACCCTTGGTTTTAACATCTCCTCCTGAAAACTCTTTTTTAGATTCAAACAATGAAAACATTGAACAAAGCGTCCACACTAATGAAACTTTAATTAAGGAAAACAAAGGCTCACACGTGTTTGTCTTTTACCGAGATTAAAATGTGAACAAAGCATCGAGAGCTACAAAAAGAAACAGAACAATTAGTGCAACTAATTAAATAAAACAGCTTCTTGTCCTGTTTTACTGATAAATCCAGTGTTGTTCAGTTTTTATGCTGTTTATAGACTGTGATACTCATATTTCAAGTAGAAGACACCGCATAACAGAAGTGACGGGCTGGTGTGTGTGCTCGCACTGCAGCGTGGATTAAATGGTGCCACGCTTGGCTGACCGTGCATGTTGTTTTGACAGTTAGGGGCGAAGACATGACATGACGACAGAGATGTAAAATCCCCACTGGCTGCCATTAACCTGCAAATACATGATTTAACCTTGATACAGAGGAATATATATTAATACGTACAACAAGTTATTCATACAGAGGGTTTAACCTCATTACAGAGGGTTATACATCAGTACGGAGGGTTATACCTTGATACAGAGAAATGCATTGCAATGCAAAGAGTTACACATCAGTATAGAGCGTTTTATCTCAATACAGAGGGTTATGTACCTCAAAACAGAGGGTTTAACCTCAATACAGAGGGTTAGATATTCCTCACTATAGAGGGTTTTACCTCAATACAAGTTATACCTCAATATAGAGGGTTATACCTCAGTGCAGAGGGTTATATTGATACAGGGAAAAATAACTCAATGCAAAGAGTTACACATCAGTATAGAGGGTTTTACCGCAATACAGAGGGTTATACCTCAGTAAAGAGGGGTTTACCTCAATGCAAGTTATACCTCAATATAGAGGGTTATACCTCAGTGCAGAGGGTTATATTGATACAGGGAAAAATAACTCAATGCAAAGAGTTACACCTCAGTATATAAACAACAAAAAAGGTTGAATCATGTCATCTGGACTTCGTTTTTTTGTTAAAAAGAAACGTTTCGCCCCTCATCCAAGAGGCTTCGTCAGTCTGAGGCCTAGCCATCTGGTATTACCCAGAAGCCACCCTGACTCTTGTGTTTCAAGCCTGCCTCAGATACCCCTGAAGTCTGGCCTTTTCACTAATGGTTTCAAAAACACAAAGTTTGTTTTCTCAGTCATTCAGGTATATAACAACAAAAAAGGTTGAATCATGTCATCTGGACTTCGTTTTTTTGTTAAAAAGAAACGTTTCGCCCCTCATCCAAGAGGCTTCGTCAGTCTGAGGCCTAGCCTCAGTATATAGCGTTTTATCTCAATACAGAGGGTTATACCTCAGTACAGAGGGGTTTACCTCAATACAAGTTATACCTCAATATAGAGGGTTATACCTCAGTACGGAGGGTTATATTGATACAGGGAAAAACTACTCAATGCAAAGAGTTACACATCAGTATAGAGCGTTGTATCTCAATACAGAGGGTTATACCTCAGTAAAGAGGGGTTTACCTCAATACAGAGGGTCAGTTATACCTCATTATAGAGGGTTTTACCTCGGTACAACAAGTTATATATAGGGTTATACCTCAGTACAAAGAGTTATATCTCAGAATAGACAATTGTATCTCAATAGTGTTAGTTATACCTCAGTATGGAGGGTTGTACCTCAATGCAAAGAGTTACACCTCAATATAGAGCATTTTATCTCATTACAAGAGTTATACCTCAAAACAGAGGGTTTAACCTCAGTACAGAGTGTTATACTGCAGTATAGAGGGTTTTACCTCAATACAGAGGGTCAGTTATACCTCAGTATACAAGGTTTTACCTCAGTACAACAAGCTATACCTCAATACGAGGTATACCTCAGAATAGACAATTTTATCTCAATAGTGTTATACGTAACCTCAGTATAGATGTTATACCTCAACGCAAAGAGTTAAACCTTAATACAAAGGGTTTTATCTCATTACAAGAGTTAACCCTCAATATAAGTTATACCTCAATACAAAGAGTTATACTTCAATATAGTGGGTTTTACTTTAATATTAAGGGTTTTACCTCAATGCAGGGGATTATACCTCAATACAGAGGGTTCAATACAATTTTATTACAGAGGGCTTTACCTCAGTGCTGAGGGTTGTACCTTGATACAGAGGAATACATCTCACTACAGAGGGTTATACCTGAACACAAACAGTTATAATTTAGTACAGAGTTATACAAATACAATAAAAAGTGTTATGCCTGCATACAGAGGGTTGAACCTCAGTACAGAGGGTTGTAGATACAGAAGTTTACACCTTGATACAGAGGATTACACCTCAATGTAGAGGTGCTTTGATACAGAGGATTATACTTTGAAATACAGGCAGGAATACAGAAAGACCTACCACAATACGTTGGATATAGAGGGTCATACATTGACATGGAGGGTCATAGAGAGATGATTGTACCTTGACATAGAGATTCATGCCTTAGTATAGAGGGCCATACTCTGGTGTAGAGGGTTGTGCCCCAATGCAGAAGGTTAGTGCTACAGTCTTTTTTGTGCCTGATCATTAATGAAGCACGTGAGTCAAGCTGACGACTCTCCGCAGGACTGTTCTCTTCATGACCCACTTGTCTCCAGCACAGGATTGATGCTGTCTGGGACCGATTTTTTACTTAAAAGATTCTGAACCTCCTCATCATCGTTGAATGGGTTATTCCCGTATCGTTCCATCCACCAGGCTCGATACTGGGGGAAAAAGACAGAGAGAATAATAAAGTGCTGTGCAAAAGTCTCAATCCAGCTCTTTTTTTTTTTTGTTCTTCCACACAGCCAGACTTTCTGGTGATATTTAAAATGATTGATGTTCAAATGTTGCTTGTTCAACATAAACCTCATCCTCGCTATGTGCAGAGAAGTTGTTGATGTTCAGAGTTGTGCTATGTTCCTTTGTCCTTTCTTAATCCAGTTTCAGGTTACAGCTTCAGACCTGTGAGCGATGAAGACTTTCCAAGGTACTTAATGATCCCATGTTGCTGTAGTGGTCACAACGGTATGAAGGTTCCTCACCCAGAGACACTTGAAAGTCATCCAGTAATTTTTTAAGACCTTGACCTTCATGCACAATAGCAAAGTAGACAAATTTAGCAAAATCTGTGGAAAATTGTCCCATATGCAATCCACTGGGATTTTAGCTCAGACATATGTTTTGATATTTTATGTTTTTTAGACAATCACAGTTTAAGTTTGATGGTGATGTCACACTAATTTTTATCTAAATTCTTCTGAACAAAATCTTCTTATGACGGATTTACTTCTTATGTACCGTATTTTCCGCCGTACACATCGCACCACCCTATAAGTTGCATCAGTTCAAATATGTCTAATAAAGTGGAAAAATCCATAAATACGTCGCATCTATTATGCGTCACCGCTGACAACCTGGAAACGTGGGCCGGTGTTCTGCCAAAAATCGATTGGCTGCAAAATGGCGGCCACGGGAGCGCGTACGGGGGGGACTTTAACAAGAATTTAACAAGATAAGCACCTAAAACAATTATTTGTTTGCTCAACATTATAGCAAATGTGTGTCTCAGTTGAACTGTTACTTAATCAGTGCACTTCAAAGGTCGAATTAGCTGCATTTCGCCGGGGTGGCGCAGCGAAATGAAGCTGATTTGACGGTTACTCCAGGCGAGCTGGACAAAGGTGGCAGGCTATGGCAAGTCAACTGTGTCATTAATAGCCACTTTTACCTATTACATGATATAACGGCATGCCATACCGCTCGAGTGCCATCTAGCTGCTGAAAATGTTAGTGTTCAATATTTTCAGTGTCAGAATGAATGAAAACCGTCATATCTCAGCCAAAAATTGGTTTATAAATATGGGAAATATGTGCACGCCCAAACTACGGTGGCCCTAAGATGTAAATGAACATTTGAAAAAATGTAATTACATTAGAAAAAAACTGAATCACATTAGAAAAAACAGAATTACAATAAGCCAAACAGGAAGTGTTTTTTAAAACTTTATTATTATTATTTATTTATTAACTTTATTATTATTATTATTTATTAACTTTTTTTTTCAAATGTGATTCCGTTTATTTTTTTTCCAAATGCAATTCCGTACTTTCAATTGTTGTTCATTTACACCTTAGGGCCACCATAAACATTTTGATCCAAACTCTGAAAGTTATCTTCAGAACTGCAGGCGAGGGGCTTCTGAACTTGTCACAACTCCTACAAAACCCACGTAGAGACGTAAATCGTGAGTGACCATCAGAGGTTTCTGTCGCTCACAGTTCAGGACTTTTTCTTTCACAAGTGTTGGATATTTCTTATCTAGACTGGTCCTATGGTTTTGATCTGCTCAGAGACGGGATTATAATGAAATTTAACACAAGACTGGTACTTTTTCCGCCATTAGTCTGAAACCTAATTTGTGCTCTGCATCCCTGTCTCCATGTCATATTAGGTGTTAGTAAAAAAATCTTATAAATGACTTACTTGTGCAAGCTCTAGGTTTTCAAACTCCTCCAGCTGCCTCAGGAAGCCCAGGTTAGGTCCGGCGCACGGCCTCACCGACCTGACGGCGGCCAGGGACTCCACCCAGCCACGCCCCGTCACCGTCATGATGTAGGCCACCACCAGAGTGACGCTGCGGGACGCCCCTGCCACGCTGACAGGCACAGACCCTCAGTTAGTAAGTCCTGTCATTTTCAGCTCTCTCTTTTACTGCTCAGAGAAGTGAAACCCGTTTTGATTCACACGTTTGATATCAGAGGAGATGAAAGGTTAACATAAGATTTTCAAAAAACAGCTTCACACGAATCATCTCAACTGTTCTTGTCCTCGTTTGTTGTGGTTGAAAATGAGAAATAGGTTAATAAAACACGTTTATAATCTCATCACCTAATTTCTTTCAGTTTTCTTCAAGCTAGTCATCTTTTAAACTGGCCTTCATCAACAGCTATTGGTGCTTTAAGGTTTTCTTTGGTCTTCGGCTGCTTTTTCTTTCATTTTCAGTCCAGTTTTTGTAGCTAAAATCTCCAGGAGGTGAATATTAACAGAAAGTCACGTCTTTAAGAAATGGGGAAAAGTCCTGACAGGATCATCCTTCAGCTGATTTTTAACTGTAAATCCAGTTTTCAGCTAAAAGCCCTGAGAATCACCTTGTCAGGGCTAAAATACTTTTTATTAAACGGTTTGATCTTTGGACATAAAGAAATTGGATCAATATGTCTTTGTGACAGGCTGTTGGTAACAAAAAGCCTAAAGATCCTAATTATCTTTGCTAAGTTGGTGAGTCTTCTCGTCCTGAGACCTGCATATGACAAATAAACAATAATCATAATCATATGCCAATAATGGCACATTGTTTGAGTTGAAAAGTTTTTTTTTTAATGAATTGTTCAAAAGTCAGTATTGAGCATAAACTAAAACTTTTATTTGAAAATGGTCAGGTTCAGAACAGAATTTTTATTTTAAAAAGCAGCCAAAGTAAAAAAAATAATAATAATAAAAACTTTGAAAGACTTAGAAAGAAGTGTTGATTAAGACCACTTTTAAAAAGTCTGATCGTCTAAAACAAAAAACTAAAGAAATCTGCACAATATTACAAATAACAAGATTTTTGTCATTTTTACATTTCTCATAAATTGTATTGAAGTCTGCCATAAATAATCCTTGTTTGTGCATCTATAACTAACTTCTGAAGTCAGTTCAATTTAAGGTGGCTGTCACAATAAATAAATAAATAAATGGCTACAACTTGGTCAGTTTTACAGATTTTGAGCTGAAATGTGGTGTGGTGGTGGCTGAGCATCATCCCCAACACATATTCTGAGCATGACATCGTATGATGTCGTCAGGTTCCGGTCGAAGCAGCTACAACAACGTCACTCCAAGAAACTGAACTTTTTTTGAGAACAGTGCTTCGAACTTCAAACCAGTCCGTCCCATTTTAAGCTTCTTCAGTGAGGCAGGTAGATCCAGGTGAAATGAAGCAGAATGGGCCCTCACCAGTGAACAAGGCAGCCCGCTCCTTTCAGCCGCGACTCGTGGATGAACACGAAGCTCTCTCTGAAGAACTGGATCCTGGTGAACAGATCACAGGAGGACGATCAGAACCAAACAGCTGCTTTAAAAGAACCTGGCAAATCTGAATCTTTTAACTGCAACAATATGCATTAATAATAATAATAACAATAATAATTTATTTGTATAGCACCTTACAAACAAATGTTGCAAAGTGCTTGACATAATCAATTAAAACATCATAAATGACATCAGAAGCACAAAAGTATACCAAATCAATTAAAATAACAACATAAAAAAGAAAGAAATTCAGATAATTAAAGCCTTATAAGTTTTAACTAATGGTTTAAAAGAAGACAATGAAGAGGCCTGTCCAATATTTAAAGGAAGAACATTCCACAAATTAGGAGCCCTGACCATGAAAGCCCTCCTGTCACCAGTCGAGCTCTGGGAGTGGAAAGTAAGAACAGATCTGAGATCGCAAGAGGGGATGTAGGGGGTAAGAAGCTCAGACAGATATGATGGCGCAAGACCACTCAGGGGTTTAAAAACAAACGATAAAATTTTAAAATCAATTCTAAAAACCACAGGGAGCCAATGCAATGAGGACAGAACTGGAGTGATGTGCTGATGTTTATCTTGTGAGAACTCTAGCTGCTGTGTTTTGTACTAGTTGAAGGCGATTCAGAGAACTTTGGGGCAGACCAGAGAATAAAGAGTTACAATAATCAAGATGACAAGAGACAAAAACATGAATAAGAGTTTCTGCATCAGTTAAAGAGATAAATGCTCTGATTTTGGCAATATTTTTAATTTGAAGGAAAAAAAAATGCTGTTTTAGTGATGTTCTTAAAATGTTTAGAAAAAATAAGATCAGAATCAAAGGTCACCCCCAAATTTTTGGCTTCACGAGTGCAGTTAAAACCAAGAACAGAAAGGGACTGAACTACTAAATCCCTTTTGGCCTTGGGGCCAAAAACCATCGCCTCAGTTTTATCGTTGTTGAGTGAAAGAAAATGATCAGACATCCAGGTTTTGACGTCTGTAAGGCAGAGATAAAGTTTATTGAGTGTGGAGAGGTCAGATGCGTTAATAGCCAAATAAATCTGGGAATCGTCTGCATAAAAATGAAAAGAAACATTGAATTTATGAATAACCTGACCAAGTGGTAGCATATAAATATAAAATAATAGTGGCCCAAGAATAGACCCTTGGGGGACACCACTGGTGAGAGAAGCTGAACTGGAGGAATTATTGCCGGAAATTACCGAAAAAGTTCTGTCATGAAGATAAGATTTGAACCACCTCAGAGCAATGTCTCCAACATCTAGCCAATAATGTAGTCGTCTCAATAGAATATTATGATCAACTGTATCAAACGCAGCAGAAAGATCTAGGAGCACTAAGACAGAACAACAGCCAGCATCCGAATTCATCTTAATATCATTCACAACTTTTAATAATGCACATTTGTTTCATTTTTAATTAATTTTTTAATCCAACATTATTCTGCACATCTTACACATGCACAAATTCTTGTCGTGTCTTAATTACTCACAGGTTCTGCTTTGAACTGTCAGCTGCAGATATGCAAAGATACGTCATGCCCTGCAGGGAGGATAGGGAACAGTTGAAATCCCTGACTTTAAAGGACTTTACATTCAAAACATAAAAGGTGCAAAACATCTAAAGTCCTCACGTTAGAATTTGGATTTGTGCTCAAGATGAAATAAAGACAATAATAAAGTGGACCTCTTCCTGTTTGTTTGTGGGCCCTGCACTGAAACTGCAACCCTGGCCCTCTCAGCTCGTTAGGTCATGACACAACGTGCGTGTCCTCACTGTGTGCGTGAGAGAGAATGTGTGTGTGTTTCTGTTCAGTGCACCTGGCAGCTGATGGTTCAAAAGCTGGACAGAAACCACCTCAGCCCAGTATGACTGCACGAGTGCAAAACCCCCCCAGTCCTCGGGGACAGACTAAACTCTGGGAGCGCTCCAGACGCTTCTCATAACCACTAATAAAAATACCAACATCGAAGGATGACACATTTAGACCAGATCTGAAGCAACTGTGAACACCATCGGGCTTAAAGCTCATCACGACTGAATAAAGTCCATCAATATTCTGCTCATCAACTTCCAGAAAAGATAAATGTGGATTCATCTGTTTTCTGCTTTTTTAATTAAATCTGCTTCAGCAAATTCACTTGCTCACTCATTCACCAGCTTCTTTTTTAATTTTTGTTACTTTTTTATACTTTTTCTTTCAGATAGTGGTTTGTTTCTTTTTGCTTTTAGCCAAACTTTTATTTATTTATTTACTTATTGTTTGTTTCTAGTCCCCTTTTACTACTTTTGTTTTAATTACCTTTTTGCTACTTTTAGCTTCTAACTAGCCTTGTTTTGCTATTTTTAGTTAACCCTTGACTACTATTAGCTAGCCTTTTGATACTTTTTGCGTTTGGCTATCATTTGCTATTTGATTTTAGCTACCCTATTGCTACTTTCAGCTTCTAACTAGCCTT